CTCCTCTGAGTCTGGGGTTATGTTACAGTCGGTGGTGAGTCACAGGCAGCCAAACACAGGAGTACTGTTGCTTACACAATTGCTCTTCAAACAGCAACAAACAATTTTCATTACCCAAGTCAGATCAAATCATTCGCCTGGCCATCCTGCCTCAATCCCAGCCACACAAACAGGCCCGAAGTCTCATGCTTTTGCCTATCCAACTCTGACAGCACTGGGCTCCATTCTGCCTTGGGCTCTGGGGGGCAGACAAAGCTTTCTCTCCTTTATTTGAGCTGGGGCCGTATTGCATGGCTGTCAAGACTAACAGGAGGAGCAGAGGAGACACAGGCATCTCTGCAGTGGGGCCCACTCAGCTGTGGGCCAGCAAGCTTCTTAGCACCTGTGTGAAGAAGCAAAGGCTGCTGGACTCCCGTGCCCAAGTGTAGGAGGCGTCCAACAAGAAAAGCCTGGCTCACCACCAAAGTATTCACTGGCCTCTGAGGCAGTGTCTGTACTTGATGTTTCTTTGTTTAATCTTTTTTGGCCAGACTTTTTTTTTTGAACCAAGAATGTGTAAACTCATTCCGAAATGTCTGTATAAGAGGTCAGCTACACATTCATTACTGGGATTTTTCTATCTTCTATCTTCTCTTAAACAAGACAAAAACACTTCACAATCTTATTTGAACCTCAAAATAACCCTGTGGGGTGGACAAAGCTAGAGTCACTGAGCCCAGTGATGAAACACACAGGCCTGAGTGCAGCCCTGTGCAAGGTCACAGGGGGATGGGTTAAGAAGCTGCCTCAGTACACTCTGACACCTTTCCCACACCTCCACTAATGCCAGGCATTCCAGGAGACTTCCCCCTAGAATTCTTTACTTCCAGTGTAACTCCTTATCCCCTCCTTAGCCACACTGTGCTAAGAACCAAGGGCTATGAAGGGCCCTCAAGCAGATTCTGACCTACAGTCACCAGAGCGCTTGCTTTGCCATGTCCCTACCAAAGAGAAACCCCCTTCCTCCCTTTCCATGGCTCAGATAAAAATGGTTTGAAAAGTTTCCAGGACATGGCAGATACAGTAGGAACTGGGGGGAAATTGCTGCTTATGCCCTTCAGTACAACACTATAGTGTCTAGGGACTGTCAAGGATTAAAACCAAGTCTATGCACCTACTATGCCCCCCCTCCACCCATCACATGTAAAGGCCTATTCATTTAATTTATGAGTTTTTGTTTTTATAATTCTGCAGTGTAATTTGTAAACTGTGAAATGCATAAGTAGTAAGTATACGGTTTGGCAAGTTGCATTCCTATACTAGAGATACAGAGAATTTTCATCTACCCAGAAAGTCTCTGTCACCCCATCCAGTCAGACCTACCCACAGTGTCCATTGTCCTAATTATATCATAGATGAAATACACAGAATCCTACCATAGCTATCTCCTTGAATATAAGGAATTCAACTGTATCTATTGTATCTTTCGTTTAGTGTAATGTCTGTCAGGTTCACCCATGTAGTGTCAGTAGTTTGTTCTTGTTCAAAATGTAAGTACTGAAAAATGAAATCATAAAATTTTCTGGTAAGTGACTGGAGCTGGAAAAAATTATACTGAGTGAGGTCACCAAGGCCCAGGAAGACAAAATGCTGCACATTCTCTCTCATAGACTGACACCAGTTTCAAATCATCTGTTTTGTGTGTTTAACTCAGAGCACAAGTGGAAGCCAGGAAACTAGAAAGGGACATTCGGTTTAAGGGAAAGGGAGAGACTATAAATAAAAGCAGAGAAGGAGAATACTGGGGGTGTGGATAGGCTTAGGCAGGGAGGGAATGGGGAATGGGGAGGGGGAACCTAAAGGAACTGGGCATGAAAAAGCCATGTGGAACCCTACTGTCTCACAACCAGCTCAAATCATAATTGGAGGGGACAGTAGAACACATGTGATATGAAAGAAGATAAGAGGGGAGGACACTGGAGGTTAGGGTTTGAACTGGGACAGGGCTGGGTGGAGGAAGGGGATAGGAGTTAACCACAATTAAGGATGTGTGGGAAAGCTTTGTGGAAACCCTTCAGTATATAAGTTCATACCAAAATACATTTTTAAAAAGGTGGTCAAATGTAAGTACTCTGCATGGATGGCCAATTTAGCTCCCAAATCCATGGGTTATTAAATAAAAATCGCAGCTCCAGAGGCATGGAATACCTCTCTAGGAGCTATTAGTCAGGGAGGCCCCAGAGGTCCCCAGAAAAGCTCAAGCTACTGCCTTGCTCTTGGCATTCCATCTTGACTACATGGTAAGATCCTATAGCTGAAGACAGAACACACTTAGCTGCAGGACATAAAACCCTCAACTGTCCTCCTTGCTGGCCAGCTTTCCCAGTGCTGGAAGGAGCAATGCAGGCTTCTTCGGGGGTGGGGGGGATCAATGGTTTTACCCAGCACCAGACCCTGGATGCTATAATCCTAACCTGATGGACAAAATGTACTGGTACCCAATAATCAAATGACTGTTGTGGGGTAACTAACTGCTGTTTTTTTTTTTTTTTTTTTTTTTTTTTTTTTTTTTTTTTTTTTTTTTGGGTTGGGTTGGTTTTTTTGAGGCAGGGTCTCTCTACATGGTGTTAAGTACAGATGTTCCAGTGCAGGAAGGACCACCCATTGCTCTGTAGGGAAGCCTAATAAACTCATTGGTTTCCCGGGGTGCAGGCAGGGATAGGTTGCCCACGTTCTAGTGGATAATCCCATAGCCATGCACACATGACAGAAGTAGTTGCACTTAGCAGAGGAGGAAGAGATGGGGGAGGAGGTAAAGGGGAAGAAGAAATTAAATAAAAGGGTAGGGTTTCGAGGGAATCCAGAGGAAGAGTAATGGGAAGTGGGTATGACCAAATTTCATTGTATATGAGTGTGAAATTCTCAAGAAATTAAAAAAAAAAAATCTGTGTCTTAAATGACTTGAGAGACACAGTAAGGATAACACTAAGATGAGGCTACACATTAATTTGGAAAGTGGGGTGGGGGTGACTTTGGGAAGCTTTGAAGAAAGTAGATTTAAACTAGCGATTTTAGTAAAATAATAGTTCACTTGAAATAAGTCTTGTTAGTGTATGCAAAGCAACTAATTTATTGCTAACTTGTCTCTTAAGATGCTTTCTATCTGTCCTATCTCCTGCAGGCTCATTTCCTCAGATATTTCTCCTTCATCTTTCCTTGACCAATCTTGCTGTAGCAGGCACATTCTTTTATCTTCAGCACTGTCCTATTTAGAAACAGCACTAGCAAGACAGTCCAGCCAGGATCATGGACATGGAGAGGCTTCAAAGATCTGGGTTTGCATTTCCAGTCTAGCACATAGCAGATGAGTGGTTTGAGGCAGGTAATTTCACCTCTCTGTGACTGTTTCCCATTTGTAAAATGAGGATAATAATACTTTGCTAATAGGGATTTGGGAGGACTCAATTACATTGTACATAAAACGTTTGGCACAATGCTAACAATTGCCTCAAGCTAGACTATAATAAACATCTTCCTGCCTCATCCACACACTTCAGTTTTTGTAAGTCACATATCAATGGGTATATATTTTTCAATTTTTTTCTTTTGAGGCAGGATCATGTATGTGAATTCTTTCTGTTGTTGTTGTTTTGTTTTTTCAAGACAGAATTCCTCTGTGTTACAGCTATGGCTGTCCTGGAACTCAATTTGTAGATCAGGCTGGCCTCGAACTCACAGAGATCCACCTGCCTCTGCTTCCTGATTGCTGGGATTAAAGGTGTGCCACCACGACTGGGTTATTATGCTCATTTTTATCAATAATGCAAAGAGTTTTAGTTAACTATCCAAGGTTATGTATTTGACAAACAGCAAATGCCACAGGAAAAATACAACCATTTTTAAAAATGTAGTTGGTAACAGCAGTACTTTAATGAGAATCAAATGAATATTGAAGAAATGCTTATAGAAACAAAACCTAGCACAAGGATGTTAAATAAACATAATTGCTATGGTGACTCAGAAATATCAGTGAATATTGAGTAATTGGGTGTTAAATAAAATATAATTGCTGTGATGACTCAGAAATAATAGCAAATAAATTCTATGTATGACCTCCAAGGAAGACTTGGAAAGGTGATGTTTAAATGTAGACCTGAAGAGCGGATAGGATTTGAAAACATGGGATATTGGTAGGCGAGGTAATTTCCAGAGTGGGGAGGGGGAGGGACACGAAGTGGAAGAGGGGTTAAAAGGGAGAGAAATAAAGAACAAAAAAACTTAACGCCGGGTGATGGTGGTGGCGATGGCACATGCCTTTAATCCCTGAACTCGGGGAGGCAGGGGCAGGGATATCTCTGTGAATTTGAGTACAACCTGGTCTACAGAGTGAGTTCCAGGACAGAGTCCCAGCTACAGAGAAACCCTGTCCTGAAAAACAAAACAAACCCCCCAAAAAAGGGGGGGGGAGGAAAGGGGTGAGCGCATTTTGATGGGGGAAAATGTTTCCTTTCCTCAAGCCAGTCACCCAGGCACCACCGCTGCTGTGCGTGGTGTGTGCTTTCTGCTCTGTGCATCTCTCATCACCCGCGGAGTGTGCTGTCCTCACCTTGCAATTAGCCACTGACCAGTATTTCGGATTGCTTCCAAGAGCCTCTTCCGCACTGCAATAAGCATCCCTTCCGCGTGCCACCGAGGCCGTGGACAAAGACTGCAGTCTCCCCCCATGTGTCCTGGATAAATTTTAATGCCTCTAGCATTCTATCAAGGCCCTTCTCTAACTTGCCATCCTAGCAGTGTCTACGCACGCTGCATTTGAGCCTCACCATCTACACAAGCTTCTGATCTATTCTCGCACACCGAAGCTTCCCCGCCCTGAACGGCAGCTTACAACGTTTACCCCGAAGCACAGGCTCACACTCCCCGCGGCGCCTGCACCTGTATGAGCCGGTGCACGCCGCCGCCAGCCCTGGAGGAACGGAAGGGCTGCGCGCGGCACGCGGCTGCCATCTTGGCCGAGGGAGCCGGAAGCGGCGAGCACGGACTGCGGCTGCGCGGCCGTGGTCGGGTGTGGAGCTCGCCGCGACCTCCTGATACTCCGGCCGCCGTCCTCCCTGGCCTGTTCGCGCAGTCTCTGGGGTGGCTCTCCGGGCACCGCCTGCCCGAAGGCATGTGGCAGAAGCCTGAGAGTGGGTGAGCCCTGCCTCCTCCCGCTGAGGATGAGCAGGATGGCGAGCCCAGGCCTTGGCCGCCTCCCAACGCCAACTGATCGGATTGCTGCCTGCCTACTGCGTGCTGTTTCTGCGAGTAGAGGACAGAAAGAAGGGCCTCATCACACGCTTCCAAGACGGCGAAACACGTTTTCGGAGACTTGAAGGATCTGCACCGTAAGATCGCCTTAGGGCTGCACAACATCGCGGTACGTCTTTGCTTTCCAGCTGAGCAGCTTCACCGCAAGCATCACACTTAACATCTTGACCGTCAGGTTAAAACCTCTTGAGAGGTGGAGCAGGCTCTGGGAAGAGATGGCTCCAGATTAGGTCTCTTAGCGATAGTCTTGGGTCTTATCTACAGGAAAGGTAATAGCTCCGGGGGAGGGGCGAGGGAGGGCGGACGGTAATAGCTCCGGGGAGGCTCAGTTCTAGAAGCATCTGAGTCAGTGGTGGTGGTGGTGGTGCATCCATCAAAGAATGGGTACCTGAGAAGGCTTATTGGGGGAGGTTTTGTTCAGCAGCGATGCCTTAGTTACAGACAGGTGCCTTGCACCAATTCATCAGAATATGAATGCCCTTGGAGTCCCCGAAGCAACCTGGAAATCACCAAGATGAAAGCCCTGGTTCTTGGCCAGGCTTCGGAAGAAAGAACTGCAGTGTTGTCCGGAGCAGTACGAGGTCAACAGAGCCAAGCCTAATTAGGGCTAGTGCTAGGACCATGCTGGTGGGAGGAAGGGTAGCCACTGAGGGCATAGAAGAAGCCTGAGAAAATTTTGGAACTTTAGTTTTTAAATCTTGTATCCTACCAGGTTTTGTTACTTTTAATATATTAAATTGCTGATTATAAATGAGGCCGTTTCTTTTTCTTATAGAATGTGTTGTAGAGTTTTGTGCATTTTGTAAAATGAGTTGAAAAAACATTGCATTTTATTCTGTGATCCTGAATGCAGTATGCAGCTCTGTAATGCTGGCCTTGATGACGTGAAGGAAGGCAACAGGTTTGGTCTGGTACCAGGGTGGGAAAGCTTATTTCATGCTAAGACTCTAACATTTTTGTGTTTTTTTAAACAAAAAGAAGACTGGTATGTACTTCTATTTGCCTAGCTATTATAGTGATGTAGTGAATGAGAAGCGTATCCTGATACACTTAATAAACTTGTTGAGCATCTTGTGTTTTGTGCTGCGCAGTTTCAGGCATTTGGGAATAGGATATATCCTCTATTTAGTGGAAAGAGTAAATAAACCAGAAATTACAATACAGTAAATGAAAAGCTACAAAGGGATGTGGGATCTAGCTGAGGTGGTTGAATGAGGCTTGCTTGAGGTTGGCTACCTTTAATAAATCCCCTCAGACTTTGGAGATAGAGGAGTTGGGGATGGTACAAGAAGTGTTGTAAGAGCACTGATCATTTTCAGTAACAATACTCACTGGGAGCTCTTGCTTCATAGCAGTGGGTTATAGAGCACAATGATTATGACCATGATCAGTTTGGCCCTCGCTGCTTTCCTTCGATCAACCTCTATAAGGGTTCCTCTTCTAGCAAAGCCTTCAGAGGCCAAGTAATGCCTGAAATATTATATAGAAAGTGCGAACACATGTCTTTTCCTGCCAAGAAGCTCCACTTCAAGACCTGTCCCCAGTACCAGGAAGCCCCGTGCTTTTGTTGCAAATCAGTCTGCTGCTTTCCCACTCCATGGAGACATGTAGACACCCACGGGGCCTTTGCAGACCACCTACCTTCACCCTGAGAATAAATACTTTAGAAAGTAAAATCAGGGAACAAAAGGAGTGGGAGCCACTAGAGATGGGCATTAGGGAACTGGGTCCTTAAAGCAGCATACTAGTAGAGCTGTTTTCTATTTGTCACAAGTTTTCTTTTACCATTTATGTTCAAACAGCATTAAGTATGGTAAGGTTGTCAAGGAACACATTTTAGGACACAAGGTCAGGGATTCAATGAAGCAGATCCAAATCAGAGTAAAATCTGTCAGTAGGCACTTTGCTAATTATTAAAAATGGCCCCCGAGTAGTTTGTAATTCATGTGGAGATGACCTTTCTGGGTACCAAGTTAATTAAATGGGATGACTGCCTTTGCCTTTAAAGAGCAATACTTTCTCCTGGGCAGAGGTCAGATGCATGAGCATCGAGGGTCAGGTTGTTTGATTTTGCCTGCAGTCACTTGGTTAAAGTGTCAAGACAAAACCCAAGTCTCTTGCACCCACTCCAGAGTGTTTCATTCTAGCACAGTGTCCCCATTCCTGGCCATCAGTAAGCTGTGTGTGACTTCAGTTATCACATCTCCAAGAACAAGTGAATTATGTAATTATCTTCAGTTGCCACTCAGTCTTTCAAGGACTGAAGTGGAATAAAAGCACTCCGAATTTTACTGGTGACAAAAAAATGGCTTTGCTCAAGGTCAAATGTATAAAGACAGAGCAGAGACAAGACTAATAAAAGTACCATTCATTAAACATGTTACCAGCCAAAGGTATTTCCCACTACTTTTTACAAGCACACTGCAAAGTATCACTGAATATCTACATTTTAGATACACTAATGACAATAATGCTACTTACAGTTGCCCAAATGAGCCAGCTCTTATATGCTTCCCATGTTTGTAATCATCTTAAGGGGAAGATAGGATCTTGCCTTCAGAGCTCTCACAAGTAGCCTGACAGAACAGGATTAGAGTTGAAGTCTTAGTCAAGAGTTTGCACTTTGCATTATTGTAGATTTACTTCTTAGAACTCCTTCCAGTCTTGGGGTGTCTGACACCAGACTCATCTTTCTTTAAGCATCACAGTGTTTCTGGAAATACAAACAAGGACTCTGTTGCCAAGGTAATTAATTGCAATAAGGTAAAAGCAGGCAAAATAAAGTTGGGGTGTTATTGGTGAACTTTGATCCCAGCTGTGGATACTTACGATGTTGGCAGTGTTGATTCACATAGAAAATGTAGTTTTGCTCAGTCTTAGCTTTGCCTTCTTAGACCGTGTTTCCTCAGTCTTTAGTCTTCTATTTCTAGTAAGTCCCAAATTAGTCTCTCATGCCATTGAACAATAGTAGTATTTGTGACCTGCAAACGTGACTCCCGGTGTTGTTTCCAGATGGCAGTAGAAAGGCTGGCAGAACTTGTACCCTTGCCTCAGGATGAAAGACCTCCCATGTCACAGATGCCATCAGCTTTTCAGAAGGACTAAGCTATAGCCTCTGGGTCCATGTGTGCAGCAGATACTGGCCACGGTAACGGCAGGAGATGAAACCCATTGTTCATGGTCATTCACAGGAGTGGGAAGAAAAGCCAGTAGAGGAAATTGTGAAAACAGTGGCTTTCATTAGTGGACAACAGGAAGATATCTCAGCTAAAAGAACTCTTAACAGGGATTTACTTAGTGGTGTTGGGATTAAACCCAGTACCTTGGGCATGCTGGGTAAGTACACTACCACTGAACTACATTCACAGCCCTTAGAGACGGTATCTCAGTGTGCAGCCCAACCTGGCCTAGGGTTGGCTCTGTAGCCCATGCTAGCCTCAGATTTTCTCCATGTTGAGATTACAGATGTGGTGCAACACCCAGCTCTTCAGGGATTTTGATGCCAGAGTCAGAACTCATGACCTACTGGAACTTGCATAACAGGTGTTTGGAAACAGCCTCAGGTTGACTGCAGCTGTCCCGAATCCAGCAGGCACATAGTGCCCCAGAGGTGGCTGCTCATTTGTAACTCATGCAAGTCAGGCCTCAATTCATAGGCCCAACCCCAGTTTCCACTTGAGGTAATTATTTTTCATGCCTTGGTCATGGTGGCAATTGATACTTAAGTAAATTATACCTCAGATTGTGCAGCCTAGCAAAGATGGCAACAATTACCTCCCAGCAGAAACAAGCATAATAAGGAAGTTGGGTATCCTGAAAAGTATCCTGATCAAGGCCTTTTCAAAGTCATGGCCATGTGACCTTGAACAAGGAATCCTATTCTCCGTGCAGATCCAGGAAACAGTTTAGTGGATGATTGAAGTAAGGGGTCAGTGAAATCTATACCCCACACTCCAGTCTACCAACTGAAATCAGACATTGGCCACTTCCCAGTCAATACCTATAGTAGCTAGCATTTGCTAAGCCTGTGTGCCAGGCATGGTACTGAAAATGATAACCACATGGTCTCATGCACCCGCACAAGGGCCCTGTGAGGCAGATTCCACACTGTCAACATTAAGATCCTGTAAGAAAACCACAGGAAAGAATATTTCTACCATTCTCTCAATACTCAAGTTGAATGCCTTGGCTACTTAGCAAGGTACTGCTCATTATATTACAACTTGAGCATCTGGCCTGGGTTGGGAAATAGAAGCAGTGAGCAGTGCCGGGTATCTGGCAAATTGGCCTCTCTGGTTGAGGACTCTAATGGAGAGGGAAGCCCACTTTTGAAAGATGATGCCCCCAGAAACCTCCAGACCTGCTGTTGGAGCCTGGTGTCAGCATTGTGGGGGAGGAGCATCCACTGCCTAAGCCACACTCAAAACCAAAGTAAAAGGCAGACCCCTGACCCCCTGACCACTTAACATCTACCCCGACCCCTGCTTTGCCTGTGGACAAGTTGGCCTCAACTGGTTTTTTAACCTCTCCTACTTTGACACACACAGTGCTACTACCTACCTGAAAACATCTGGAAGACTAGACATAAGAGGGGAGCTACCAAAGCTCCTCCCACCTCTGCTATATGGTGAATACTGTTATGATATTTAACCAGTCACTCAACAGATATGTTGAGCAACTTGAGATGGCCAGTGTACACACAGGTGATGAGATTACAACAGTGAGCAAATTGGATAAACATCCTTGTCCTCCTCGAGCTCATATGCTAGAGCAAGGAGACTAAGTCTTACAAGAGCTTACATAGCACGAGGGACAATGACCTGTGTTGTAAGGGGAGAGGAAGTAAGGACTTGACAGTGCTGGAAGATGGACAGTCTTAGAGAACTCAGCCAGAGAATTGTTCACTGAGAAGTAGCCTCTGAGTCATAATGAAACCGGAAGCACAGAAGCTGACTACAGGTGTGTGTGTGTGTGTGTGTGTGTGTCTGTGTCTGTTTGTGTTGCAGTGAGGGGGGGTAAGGGGGTGGTGGTGGGAATGACTGGCAGAGGAAATGCCAAGCCTGAAGGCTAGGTGTGTTGGGAAACAGCTCCAGCAGGAAGAGTCAGTGGAAGGGGTGGGTCGGAGAGGGTTCCTAGCTAAGGGGCAGCAAGATTAACAAGAACTGGCTACAGACCCGATCTTGGACCCAAGAGCTCCTATAGGACCCCCATCTTGGGTGGGACACAGCTTCTGCTGAGCTGAGATGAAAATATTCTTTGTGGCTTTGGCTATCCTAATTCTGGATTCTTAATGTTGGGGAAATTGGAATGTTTTCTGAAAATACCAAAAGGGGGTGTGGTGTGTGTGTGTGTGTGTGTGTGTGTGTGTGTGTGTGTGTGTGTGTGTGTGTTGTGTTATCTCTACTGATAGCACTGGGAAGCAGTCATGATTAGCAGTGTATGATGGTTTTCCCTGTCCAGCATACTTTGTTTTTCTTGCCTGGAATATAAATGACCTGTGGGGTTTGGTTTTGGTTTGCTTGTGTAGTTTTATTTAGTTTTAATTTTATGTGTATGAGTGTTTGGCTACATGTATATGCACCACATGCATGCAGTGCCCTCACAGGTCAGAAGAGAGCATCAGATCCCATGGAACTGGAGTCAAGATTGTGAGCTATGGTGACTGTTGTGAGCTGCTGTGTGAGTGCTGGGGATCAAATCCACGCCTCTTTCAAGAGCAACAAATGATATTTACTGTTGTTAAACTCTCCAGCCCTTGAGGTATTAGTTGTGAACTCCAATTTGCAGTATCATGTCATGAAACATTCTCTCAAGATTTCTTGAGGCTTATCCTTGGGGTCTGGTTTGTTTGTTTAGTTTCCAAGACAGGAGCCCATGTAGCCTGGCCCAGCTGCAAACCTATATGAGCTAAGGATAATCTACTCTCTCTACCTCCCAAGTGCTGGGACTAGAATGCCTGGTGATTCCTTCATATTTTTGAATGATGCCACAAGTCATCTGTACACTGCAGTTCTAGTTGGGTTCATGGAAGACCATCAAAGGATCCTGCTGGGACCACTTGTGAGTTTCCAGCA